AGTATGAAAAAACGAATGTTCAGTAAATCGTTCACTGGTACAATCGGTCCTAATAATGAATGTTTCTATATAACCAGTCGTGTTTTTTTCGTAAAAGTGAAACTTGATGAACTTTAACGGATAGCCATCTGAAATCAATGCTTCAGTTAAGAATTTCGCATCGTCGTCAAATGTATCCGTGGTGTAAATCCTTTGTGCTCTATTGAAGAGGCATTTCACCAAACCTCGCTTATATTGCAGTGGACAAAAAAAAACTTCTGAAATTTAGGTAATGTCCAGTCCACGTTGGCTTTCTATAAACAGAACGTTTTATAGTTCCATTCTCTCTTCGGCTCAACAGTATGTTTAAAAAAGGCAATCGATTATTATTATCTTCTGGTGCATGAGTTAATACAATGTCATTTTCTCTCTCTTTCATGATTACAATTATCACCTTATGTCTATTTGAACTTTTATTTAATTGACCTTTTATTCATCTTCATATAAAATGCCTTGACAAGTGTATATATGTGTGTGACCAGATTGTTCGAACTGTGTATAGCACACAAATACATCACAACATTTTTCAGATCAGATTACGTCTTCGCACTGTGTTCTATCAAAATTTATAAAAGGGACTAATTGTTTTATATTTCTGATTTGTTTGTTTAATAGTGTATTTCAGGTAAGACATATCTTTCACTTGTATAATTGGTCCTAATAATGAATGATTTTTATCTAACCACTCGTGTTTTTTTCGTGAAAGTGAAACCAGTACACGTTTTAACAGTCTGAAATACTTCACTTATGCTAGTTGTATATTATAGAAATATGTTGGGGATATTAGATCCCCAAATCTCGCTTGATAAATGCCTTATTTTGGATTTCACGTTCGCCAGCATGGACTGATCAGTTGACCTTGAGATTTCATTTCCAACCAGGAAAATCCGTGGCTGTGATTGGCTGCTGTGTTATTTTAGTGTGCTACTTTTTTGACTGTCCCAAGGACATTTCTAGGATGTATAAACAAACGAGAGTTGTATGCTTGATTGTAATGTGATTGTTTGTAGAATATACTTTCTACGCTTACAAAGTCTTCTTACCCTAGTTTCGGATTCAAGGTAGCCTAGCTGGACGCTGGTAATTGTCTCGTTCGTGTTTATCGACTAAATGACGAACATAGTAGAAAATTCTAAACTAAACGAAAACCATTTTACAGCTATACTACATACAGTCTTCAATACTTTTCCAATCGGACTTTGTTTTCTGCTAAATATTTATTTGCTACTCTATGCTATTGGTCATCTTGTTCTTCTCACGAGAGTTTGGTTTTTTGATGTCTTTTTCCCTCCCACATAAAACACGTAACGATGAAAATCAATTCATTGAAAGTATTTCTGATTTGTTTGTTTAATAATGTATTTCAGATAACACATATCTTTCATAGCAAAATTGCATGTTCACTTATGATCATTATTAGGATGATGTGTAATACTGATTACAATCATAGCAAAGACTGACATTCATCATGCTGATTTTGGGTGAATTATTCATATATTGACAGAAAGAAAAAAACTAAAGTTAATGATTACTGATACAGCGAAATGATTGTTTAACAATATAAAAATGTACTATATAGTATTGTTTTTGTTCAATCATGTATTTATTTGATAAGTAGTATCATTACTTCGTCATAATTCTTTATCAGATGTCAATTATTGTGATAGAATGCTAAAAATCACGAGATGTAAGCAGCGCGAAGTTTTTCATCGATCGACTTTCATCAATTCGTTCGTTATCTGTAGCATTATTAACTCGATTAACGTGATTACATTTCGATTGAATACAAAGATGATAAAAACAGCTCATGTTTAGACACAGATCTGTTAGTATTGTAAGAATTTTTTTTGACTTGTAGTGTGTGTACGTACTTTTATGATGATTCCACATGATTTGTCGCAAACTTTGGACAAATTAATCATCCCACTGTTCTCAAGTTATTCACATGCCTTTCGATCTTGTCAATCATTCGTGTATAACTTGATTATTTTTGTTTAAGTGTCTAGTTTATATTTTGTCTGACTATAAATACTACTTACTCATGCTTCATCGCATTGAATTGGCTCATTCACCTTCTCTACATCGCTTCGTTTTGCTTGTGTGATTTTCATTTCCTCTCTGTCTGGTCAAATAATGAATACAGGTAATAACCTCCGTCTCTTAAACACGGTCCAACTAGTATTGATATACGGAAATTGAATTATTCGTATAAATCGAAGTCAGATAGCGGGTCACTTAAATGGTGAGCCCTACTCTGAAGGCTAATGTAGCCATGAAAGACTAATCTTTTTGACTATGGAGTGTTTCAGAATTTATTAAGTTACATTAAATTATCTGAATCGATTTCTAGGTGATAATCAAAGTTAAACCTTATGAGAACGACACTGGAGGCTATTCATGATTGTGAAAAAGGTAATCCCAAATTAGTCTGCATTGTATGTCACTTGATTCATAAAATCAATTGAACTGATAAATCTTATCGTTGCTACTCTGAGTATTCTACCCAAGTGCGTCACCTATACGTAGTAGATACATTCATAACAAATTCTTATTTACTATGTGTTTGGGATGTTAGATCCCCAGAATTCTCTTGATAAATGCCTTATTTCGGATTTCACGTTTGCAAGCATGGGCTGATCAGTTGACCTTGAGATTTCACTTCCCACCACGAAAATTCTTGGCCGTGATTGGCTGCTGTGTATTTTAGTGTGCCATTTTCTTAACTATCCCAAGGACGTTCCTATAATGTACAAATAAACGAGAGTTGTGTGCTTGATTGTATTATGATTTCTGGGTGTTTGTAGTATATACTTTCTACGCTTACAAAGCCTTCTGTGTTCAGCTTGGGATTCAAGGTAGCCTATCTGGACACTCGTAATTGTCTCGTTCGCGTTTATCGACTAAGGTGAACTCGTATTAGCTACAAGCGTACCTAGTGACGAACCTTACACTATGTGTACACATCTGATGAATATTCTTATGGTTTCATCAATTGCTATGATTCATTCTAAGCATCTGACCGCATTTGACCACTAACCTATTGTATGTTATTAGTCAGTTTGCTTTACAACAATGCTAGTGATTATAATAACACCTTGCAAGGTCAATATTCTTATTAATCGCTGGTTTAGTGAATTATCATTAAAATTGTTGTACTGAAGTGAAAATTTAGGCTTTTAGCCACAACCGTAACGCGAACGGGCCTTTCCTAGTAACGATAAACAGAGAAGGAAAGTTTTATTTGTCTGTAAAAACTAGTCATATCTCAGGCCATCAAAGCAGTGAGCCCATGTTGAGGAATCAATCTCTTCAAAGGCTGGGACAAGTCATTTGGCCTTGAATTATTGGCATACCCTACAGAATATGTTACATTTGTAGTCTCCACTTGTTATAAAACCATTGCTGACCTTAAACTCTCGTTTCCGAATTCCACTTAGTGGAACATTCGCTTTTCAGTTGCATCACTCACTACTGACTCAAACATTATCCTATTATTTCGAAATCAGATTTGAATTAATGACTTGAATATACTTAGATATACCTACCATAAGCCAAGCAAAGGTTATTGTAACAAGCCTGATAAAAAATAAACGAAATTAAGGTTATTCAGCATCTGATTTATCGATTTACAAGATTTGTATTTCTATTTTTTACTACTGGTTTTTAAATGAAATGAATTTTGCTAATCACTTTATTATCAATCGGAAATCTGTCAAAAAGGAAACATGAACATTGATTCATAGAATGATTATGTTAACTTAGTCTTGTGTGGTGTTTGAATGAACTAGTGACTTTTTGTTGTTGTCGAATGCTTGATTTCGAATTCTAAATACAGTTCATTCTTCCGTGCTCATCTCGTAGTTCTTGATTGTAAAATACAAATACTTCTAATTATCATATTGGCGTCGCGATGGAACTTGTAATGGAACAGTTAGATATTCATTCTATTTCTGAAGCTTTTGAGGATTATTTGGAAAGGTTTGAAATCTGGAATATGACCAAGAAAGATGTTAAAGATGATAAAATTGTGGCACATTTCCTGACATTCATCGGAAGAAAAGGATACAGCTTATTAAAAACTTTGGCATATCCGGAAAAACCTATCTCACTTCCCTATGCAACACATAAGGAGTTATTATTAAATCATGTAAAGTGCACTAGATTTGAATGCCGTGAAAGGGCGAAATTTCATAAGATGATTCGTCAAAATGACCAAAAGGTTAAGAAATTCATTCTTGAATTGCAGAAACAAGCTGTCAAATGTAATTTCGGTTGTTAATTCTAATACCAATGAGAGCATTCTAGATAATACAGAGTCTTTATCCACTTTACACTGTCGGACAGACACAGGATGAATTTGAGAAGAAGACGTACAATTGATTACAGACACTTGGATTCCAATTTAAGCTGTGGCGGATGTGGTGTTTGAATGAACTAGTAACTTCTTGGTTGTTGTTGAATGCTTAATTTCGAATTCAAAATACAGTACATTCGTTCATGCTCATCTCGTGGTTCTTGATCCTAAAATACAAATACTTCTAATTATCATATCTTGTTAAACAGACAAAAAACATACTTCAACACTGATATATAATCTCAATACATATGTGATTCAGCTGAAGTGATCATCACATTCAAAGCAATACATACATTGTTCAATAATAATTATTGTACACCAAAAGGAAAAAAACAAAACATAATCAAGACAAAGTTACTTACAAATAAATTACATTGCACAAACAACTGCGATGTGAGCACAATTGACTCAAAAAAAATCAATAACATTCAGTTATCTCAAACTGTGCACACATCTACATGATGTAATCAATAGCCACATTAAAAAAAAACAAATCAAAATACAATAGTAGTAGTAATAATAAAATCATTTAAAATTTTCTCTGTTTTATTTTAATTTTTGGGTTTTTTTTCGAAAATTATTTATGAATATTTAAAAATAGACGTTACAATTGATTTTTACTGGTTTGTGTATATCCTTCACTTGAAGTTACATTAGTATTAGTGTTATTGCTGTTATTATTATCATGATTGTGTGGACGTCGACTGGTTGATCGTTCTGTGGTGCCTAATCGATAAACAAATTCTATCAACTCGACAATAAACGCTGCAGTCAAGCCAATACTTAATGAACAAAGACCACCGATACGACTAAGCAATACACTAATACTTAAAACTAATTTCTCTTGACTAACACGTACATCGCTGGCACGACGTTTTAGGACGACGTAAGCGAAATTATCACCTTGAAGATTTAAATCATTGATTGCATTGGCCGATATCTGAGAAAACAGAAAATGTAACATCATTGTATCAAATAAGTGAATTTCTTCAATCATAATGTAAAATATACTAGATATTCAAGGTAATAATAATAGTAGTATATACAGATTTTCCAAATATATATATATGTGTATGTACTATAACTGTCAGATTAAATCTTTACAATAAACAGTTGATTTTTTGAAACTGATATGTTGTTTCCTCTCCTATCTTTCTCTATTTCTAGGCGTATTATGTTCCTTGGCCTTCCTTTTTTCCTTTTGCCTTGAGGGTTCCATGTAAGGGCTTGTCTTGTGACGCAGTTAGGTGCTTTTCGTAGTGTGTGTCCTATCCACTTCCACCACTTCTTCCTGATTTCCTCCTCCACTGGAATCTTGTTTGTTCTCTCCCATAGTAAGTTGTTGCTGATCCTGTCTGGTCAAAGAATCCGAAGTATTTCGCTTAGACAACTGTTGATAAACACTTGTATCTTATGGATGATGGCTTTGGTAGTTCTCCATGTTTCCTCTCCATACGGTAGAACTGTCTTGATATTTGTATTGAAAATCCTGATTTTGGTTTTTGGTTGAAAGTTGTTTGGAGTTCCAGATATTTTTCAACTGTAGAAAAGCAGCCCATGCTTTGCCGATTCGCGCCCTCACATCTGCATCGGATCCACCATGATTGTCGATGATGCTGCCCAGATATGTAAAGGTGTTAATGTCCTCCAAGGCATCTCCATCAAGAGTGATTTGGTTTGTGCATGTTGTGTTGCATCGGAGAATTTTGCTTTTTCCTTTATGTATGTTTAGACCTGCTGCTGCAGAGACTGCTGCTACACTGGTCGTCTTCTCTTGCATTTGTTGTTGCGTGTGCGATAGAAGAGCCAGGCCATCTGCGAAGTTCAGATCGTTCAGCTGCGTCCTAGCTGACCACTGAATACCGAGTTGGTTGAAGGAAACTGGTGAGCGGCCTAGGCTCCATCGGGGGTAACAGGTGTAAGTAAGATATGTTGTTTAACACACTGAGTTGAACATTGAATACAACACTCACGGAAAGTTGCTTGTTCTCTTTTGTGCCTTAGATATTACATTTTTAGCATGCATGCATTTTCATATATGGAAAAAAGTCTTTTGATAGTATTTGAATTCTCATATAAAGCAGGAAGTTTAATAATGAGATGATTTTTAATCATGAACATTGTCGGTTCAATGTAAAAGAGTTTTTTATTGATTGAAACTGGATACATATTTTCACTTTGTTGTAGTTCGCTTTTAAATTTTCATTGTTTTCTAACTTTGATAAACTAACTATGCAACAACATTTTTTTTATTCAGAAAGAAAGTTGAAATATTTATTTTTATGTGAATTATCACATGTTAACTGTTTCATTCTATTGGTACATTTTTGTCAGTGAACTAACTAGCAGTTGTGCATGAAAATATTTCAATGACTTTTAAAAATTGTTAGTGAAACTTTTTCAGGTTGATAAAGTATAAAATGTGAAGGAGTTTTGTTGACCCAGGAACAATCGAAGAGATCATTGTGAAACAATCAACTGAATGAAATTCATCACTTTACATATCAACTTGGTTGACTAGGAGAAAGCATTTGACAGCACGTGGGGAATGACATTATGCAAGCTTCTTCGACACTATGGTATGCCCGAGAAGATAGTCAACACCATACTGAATTCTTATGACGGATTAAGCTGCAAAATCTTGCATTAAGGGAAGTTCACCAAGTGAAAGCTGGTGTCAGAAAGGTTTGCCTAGACCCACCCTTTCTCTTGTTTCTAATGGTCGACACGGTTATGAGGACGTCAAAACCTTGGGGGAAGCAATGAATACAGTTGAACGATTTGAACTTTGCAGATGATTTGACTCTTCTATATCACACGCAACAACAAATGCAAACGACGTCCATTGCAGTATCAGTTTCTGCAACATTACGTCTCAGCATACACAAGGGAAGAAACAAGATCCTCCGATACAGCACAGCGTGCAACAACCAAATCACACTTTATGGAAAATCTTCGAAGTATGTACAATCATTACATAATGGGGTAGTATCATCGATGTATAACGCTGATATAATGAAGATGGAAGGATTAGTAAAGCATTGGCAGGGTTTATACAATCGAAGAACATATGGAAAGCAAAATAACTAGCATTCACAATTTTCTTTACAAATATCAAGACAGTTCCATTGCATGGGGTGCAAGTACCTACTGTGAGAGAGAACAAACCATATTTCAGCGGAGTAAAAATCAGCAATAATTGATGGTAGTTGATAAGATACACATTGAAGAAAGCGCACGCAACTGCGTCACAAGACAAGTCCTCACTTGGAACCCTCAAGGTCAAACGAAAAGAGTAAGACCAAAACACGCAAAATACCGAGAAATGGAGACAGACATACAGAAGGATGAACAAAAATTGGACAGAACTAGAAACGAAGGCAGAAGATAGAGTAGGCTGTCGAATGGTGGCCTATGCTCCACGATTGATAATAGACAAAAGTAAGTAATGTAGTACTCTTTACAATTTTTGATAAAAGAGACAATGTTTAAAAAATAAAATGTCATCTTACATTTGTTAAATTATCTTTTTCATAATATTCTTTCCATCGATGAAAACCGTTACTTTGAGTGATATTCCAATCTTCTCCATTTGTTTTCACATCATGTTGCATTGCTTTGAATGCTCTATTCAATTGTCGTAGCCAATGTAATTGCCAATCAACAGCTCTCCATGTTGTCACTGAGATAGTACTCTCGTATGTATAATATCGACATCTTGGATGACACATGGTTGATTCATACAAACGTCGAACTGTTACATTTAAAGGACCACTTGTAAGACATTGAATACGTTTAGCCAGTGCCAATATATCGAAATCACCTTCCAGTATTGAACCACAATATGGAAGACTACTTGAAGGATATTGTGGTCTAGGATTGTATATATATTGACACCCACATTCTTTAATAATGTCTTCTTGTTGATGAAATAATATACACTGAGATTGAGTATATCTATAAGATACATTTAAATCATTGTAGGCATAAGCAAAATCTAAACCAGTTAAACGAGATAATTTATGATCAGTGATACTAGCCAATTCTGGATTACGATCGATAAACTCTTCACGGCATGGATTTTGCGGTGTATTCAATCGTTTCCATAAAACTGGTTGATAATTGATTTCATTTAATTTCCCTGGTTCAACATGTAATCCTTCACGTTCTAAATCTGGATATGTACCAGGTTCATGGACTACAACACTAAAAACGAAAAAAAATTTAAAACATTTATAGAGTCATGATTATTATTATTATTATTATATTTAAAATAGTTTTTATTAAAGATTCCTATTGTGAAAATTAGAACAACACAAATATAAGCGAACAATAATGTTGTTTTCGATTAGATCGTCATCAGGCTTTACTCTAATATGCATGAATATTTATATGAAAATGGTAAACCAATCAAGGCAATTTG